TGAAATATCGGGCAGGCGTCTCCACGCGGCCCAGTAGTCTGCCAGGGGTCTTGGGTGTTCTACGGTTGAAACGTACACCTGATTTTCCCATATAGGATCCCGAAGCACCTGAGTGGCAGGAAAAACTATAATGGGAAGATGTCCCATTGTTCCGTCGGGCCTGCCCACTGCCCCAAAAGTGGGAGCTTTGGAGGCCGTCATAAACGGGCCATGCTCGCATGACCCTTGGGCTTTTTCTCGAACTCTGAAGGCTGGAACGCGCAGAGTATCCGAGAGGGTGCTCGTCGTAAGGAGTCGACCTAAGACTGCCCGAGGCGCAATATGCGGCGGGACCGTCAAGATCGGAGTCAGGAGGCCACAGCGAGAGATTCGAATACGCTTGTGCGGTTCGTACACTCTCTCTAAAGGAGGGCCTAGCCTCCGAAGATGAGCAGAGGAATCAGGAACTGCTATTAGGGGCCTGAGGACGAGAGGGCTTGGCCGTCGAACTCAGATCCAACCGTTTGCATTGTCGTGGGTAAGCTGGTGGGCGAGACCTAGGACCCCAGTCCTTACGAGGGGGTAACCTAGGCGATGGCTCATGCCGCTGGACCTCGCGGTGCTGTAAAGACGAAGAGCGTGAACGAGCCGCAGGTGGCTGATGCTCTACTTCCCTAGCCCTGCGAGGGATGAGTTGACGGAACGCAGCGGACTGCTGTTTCGCTGCTCTAAACTTCTCCACGACCGTAGTGACCGAGTCTCCGAACAGACCGTCACTCGAAATGGGGGCGTCCAGGAGAAAGGTCCTGTCCTTCTCCTTAATGTCAGTGAGAGTAAGCCAAAGATGGCGCTCAGCTGACACCAACCCTGCCATGAACCTGCCCACTGCCCGAGCTGTGTGCTTGGTAGCCCTAAGCGCCAAGTCAGTAGCTCGTCTGAGCTCTTTAACGGCCTCTGGAGTCAGTCCTTCTCCCTCGTCCAGCTCCTTGAGCACATCTGCCTGATGAGCCTGGAGTACACCCATAGAATGGAGTGTAGCCACGGCCTGCTCAGCGGCCATGTAAGATTTCCCGATCAAAGCGGAAGTAACCCTACATGGCTTGGACGGTAGCAGAGGGCGTGACTTCCAAGACGGAGCGGAGTTTGGAGCACCGTGGTGAAATCAGCGGCAGCAGGATTAGTGATACGTGCCGAAAAAGGTTGTTTCCGAGACCTCGAAACCTCGTAGTGGAGGTCTTGGAAAAAGGGGAGAGGCCTACGGGGCTGAGATGGGGTGCGGCTGGACAAAAATCGATCGTCCAGTTTCGACTGGGACTGAATTTGCGCCAGCTCGCTATCCCACTCTAACCCCAGCTTATCCACAGCGCGCGTTACAACATCTAATAGTTCGCTGTAAGACGGGGAGGTGCGTTTCTCCTGTCCACTCGGAGGGAGAGAACTGCACAGTTCGCCCAATAAATCCTCCGAATCGGAGGCTGCTGTGGCGTCATCGCAGCATCGAAGTGAGCCTATGAGAGGGAACTGGCTCAATAAATGAATGCCAGAGATCGGTTTTCCATTGATCTAAGTTTTTATGCGCTTTTACCGTAACGCCTAGTATATGTGCGCACCACAAAACAACGTTGCGGCTAGAATGACCGTGTTTTTCAAAGTGGAGGCTGGCCTCACTGCAGTCCTACTTGCGGGACGGAGCCACAGTCGACAGTATATGCAATCCAGCCGAGACAAGACGTGAAAACATTTTATTCAGACATACAGTAGATGCCTCGTTTTAGTTCTAATTATGAAATTTTCTATCAAAAATACTGATTTACTGATGTTTCTTAAAAGATTGTCTCATCACATTTATTTATCACATATTCTTACTCTTAAAAATTCTAAAAATAAAAAGCTGTTGTATTGTGAAGAGAGGCACCCACACCTCCATGTTCTTCTGTTAAACTTTTGGGTGTGCATTCCAGGCATATTTTTAAGAAGTTAGTCCTATTCAAGTACAGTGTGGTATGACATCATGTCAATTCAAGAAAACAGGTTGTTGCCTAATTTTTTCAGGGGAGGTTTATCAGATCAAGAAGTGACGTTTCTTTGTGTTTGAGCTTTCTGTTGTGTAGCCTATGTATAACAATAAATACAGGTGTTAATTGAATGTGTTAAAATGTACAAAATTAGAGGTCAGGACTATGTTTAAATATATTGATCTTGTACAACCTTTTTATATGCCTTGCAAATGTTTGGTTTTCTGTTGTTTTTGTTGCAAATTCTGCTGATTCTTCACCAAAATAATGGTGGAACTGACTTGATAGCATCAGTATGAATATGTTGAAAACTACAAAATCAGAACAAGTTTTGCATTGCATGCAAATATTTTACAGCAAAACTGTGTTCATATATGTTTGTATAGTTGAATAGTTGTAATTTCCGTCCTGTGGCATGTTTCCTATTTGTAAAGGGGAAAAAACTATAATTTTAATGAAAAAAAAGTAAAAAAAAAAAAACAACAACTTTAGCATTTAATGAAAAATCAAAATGTTTCTAATAAGTATAAAAAATATTTTTCCCTCTCATATGTTGTATGTCTCCTTGTCCTTAAAGTTGCAATGAAACAGTAATGAAACAGTTTTCTTGCGCATTGTGATGTACATCTGAGTGTAATGGATTATTGAAAAAGAAAAAATGCAGGGCAGGACTTGTTTCTATGTCTCCGGTGTTGATTGGATTTTGAGATGTGGGCGTTGCACTCAAAAATGGAGGCAGAAGAGTGTGAGATTACAGGGGCAGAGTTTAGGGATTAAGATTGGAAAAATCCAGCATATGTCACCAGAGAGAAGTCTCGTTTCACCGGAAGGTCCCATTATGACATTTTGATTAGGCTTGGGCGATGTCTACCAAATTGGCATCGGACGGTGTCTACAGTGAAACATCGTGATGGACGATGACATCGGGGGGCGGGGCGGGGTTAGGGGTGTGCCCAAAGCATGAAACAAATAACGCGTTATACGGAGCCACTAAAAGGTTAGCCGCTTACTAGCGGTAGCCTGTTGCATTACAGTACATGAAAGTTCACTTACCACATACACAGAGTAAGGAGAAATGTCTGATAGGACGATAGCGAATGATTTGAGGATCCTGAGCACCAATGACAAACATCTAATCTTGTCAAATGTGTGGTAAGTACTGCCGCTCCATAGTATAGGCCTACTCCTTGTGATCCCGAATCTCAAAAGTGAAAGTAAAATGAGAGCGCGCAATCGAAAGCGGTTTCAATAGCAGCTCCCTGATGCCCGCAATTTATATACAGTCGCCTATACTTACCCAACGATATAATTGCGAGAAAAAGTATTGAATAATTTTTTTTATCCTCCCATCTCGTAGGCTATTTATTCCCTTTAGGGTTTCCGTAGTACACTTCATTTCCTTTCCGAACACGGAACTGGGATGCGGCAGACAGCGGGAGAGGGGTGGGAGGAATCACAATGTCAGCTTAACATCGTGATCTCTGTCAGCCATCGGCTATGGACGATGGCATCGTCTATCTGCCCAACCCTAATGAACACTCGCTTTACTACAAATATTTGTTGGATTTGTATTATTAGAGCTTTCCAATGTGAGTTCACGTGCATTTTCTCAGTTGGGGAAATTATTTTTCATGTGCGGTGCCGGTGATGATGCTTCTTACATCCGTTTCGGAGAACAAGAGGACAAATATTTCAATCGATCGCTCAGGCATGGCACCGAAATGAGGAACCGAAATCTGCATTCGGATTCGGTTCTAGTACATACCGGTTACATAGGTACCGGTGCCATGTTGGTACCGGGTTTCGGTACCCAACCCT